GATTTTCGAACTTGACCTGCGTATTATGAATATTCATCAGTTCTGCAAGTTTCAAATTAAAAGGCAAAATGGTTTTCCACTTATCGTGTTATCGGTAAAAGTGCACGGCGACGGCGACGGCGACGACGGCGACGACAGCGACGACGGCGACGACAGACGCAGATGATGGCTATATGTACAGACACATCTGTGTCTGTACATAAAAAGTGTGGGTATACTAGCTAATTCTAAGTCTAGTTATTGTTGTTTAACAAACAGATGACTTTGTATAATGGCAGCTCTACATACAAAACTCTCAACAATTTTTCTCAGTACTTGCCTAGCATATAAAACCGAAGACTGTACCGTACCGATACATTTACCGAGTTTTGAAAGTCAAGTTGTTGTGGTGTCTACCTTTACACAAGACGAGCCACATAACTTTGTTTTAGATTAATATTACAAAACATTTCACAGGGTCAATTCTAACTTTTTAATATTGTCATTTTGATACTACAGCAATATCAGATCATTCTATGCCCCAAAGAAGCAAACGAAAAATACTGTTAAGCTTTCTTTGATGCTGTCTTTAATTTCTTTTGTATTTGGAAACACGAAATGTGCTTTCATGACTTCCGGTTTAAAAGAGAGCGTGCTTTGTGCCAGTTAATATAAGAATGGGAGTTCCAGCCTTCTTCCGATGGCTGAGCAGAAAATATCCATCATTAGTTGTGAATTGTGTAGAACAGAAGGTAAGCTTGATTTATCAATTGACCCTTTTACACCTAATATGTACAGATGATGTCAATGAACAACAGTATCTTAGCCTAAGACTTAGGCTGACTTAGCTCTACGCTAGCGTGTGAATTTGTATTATCAATGATTGAATTTGAGTTTGGTATCCAGTCTCATGACTGCTATTTTATTTTCCGTGGTCGTATGTGTCAAAAATATCATTTGTGCTAACACGTTTCAGACTTATATGAAAACAGATTATCTGATATGAAATTAGCATTTGAGACGTACCAGCTGAAAGTATTTTTTCAATAATAAGTGTTGTGGTAATTAAGTGTTGATTGTCTAATTGAGCCTTTGTATTCAACCAATTTTCATGTCAAATCTGAAAATGCATGTTCATGACATGTGACGCTGTTCTATATATCTATGATTCCAGGGTAAAGTGATCAATGGAGTGTCCGTGCCTGTGGACACCTCAGGGCCTAACCCCAATGATGTGGAGTTTGATAATCTTTACCTTGACATGAATGGCATCATTCACCCATGTTGTCATCCAGAGAATAAGTAAGTGGTATATGGCGAATATGTAAAATTCTTTTAAAGGTACATACGAACCGAGCATTGGTGGAGCGTGGATTCCCAGTAAGACATGTAAACCACTTCTACTAGTTTCTTATACGACTCAAATAAATTCAACATGCCAAGGGATAAACTGAATAGATCACTCAATCAGCCATAAAAAAGCTTTAGACTGCTCCTTTCTTTAAATTTTTGGTCAGAAATTTAACCTACTTTCGTGACCTACTTTAATGCCCCATTGACATACAGCATAGAATGCTAGCAGAAAAATCCGTTCAAACATCATTTTCGGGTAAAATTAAACAATGCCTTTTGGTAATTCTCTTAGTTATACTACTTGAAACTATATGCTGGCATTTGGTTGGTTTTTGTGACAAAAAATTGACTTAGTATGCATCTTTAAGCATTCTGTGCTGTCTAATTATAATCAGTGTAAAATTGAACTCTGATGAAATTCAAATTGCCTTGACTTATATTGATAGTTCAGTCTTAAGGGCCATGATGTAGGAACTGACTGAATTCATGCCACATTTTGTCATTAAGTTCTAGAATGACAAGAGTAATGTTCCATTTTCTTTAATATGATGAAAATGTTGTTATGAATTTTGGAAGCTTGGATAATTTCTACTAGACTTCTGGGGTCATTTAAGGTCCAGACTGCAAGAAAATATAGGTGATTTTCAAGACATTAATTTCAGTTTCAGGGAGTCTTTGTGCAAAAAAAAAAAAAAAATCACTTCGACTGAACCTGAAAAATTATTCACATATTCTATAACTAAGAAATATTTCCATTCATATTACAGAAAATTATATAATATATATAACATAATGCCCTACATTATAATTTGCATTTTATCTTCAGGCCAGCTCCTAAGAATGAGGATGAAATGATGGTTCTTATCTTTGAATACATCGACAGAATCTTTGCCATTGTGAGACCCAGGAAACTGCTGTATATGGCCATTGATGGAGTGGTAAGGCTGTGATCAGATGCAATATGGTTCATATTGAGCATGCTTTAATCTTTGGAAGTACAACAAAATATGTTGATATTGTAGAGGAATTTTAAGTCTTTGCTTTTTTTTTTTTTTTTTTTTTTGTTGAAATTGCAGTCTGTTGAATGGGTACACTCAGTCTATGCAGGTATCTTATGATTAGGTAAAAGAGGCAAATACTCTCAATCTCCTTTAGCTTATGGCTAAATGATGAAAGCAGCAGGTATGTTCCTTTGACTGATTTAGATGAGTGTGTCTATTTAGAAACATTTGACAGTATATGATTTAGATGAAGGAATTCACTTGCTGTCTTGATAGTCTAACTGACTTGATGTTAAGAGTTGTACAGAGCTGCACACATTTTTCTGTAGCAAAAGCTTTCAGTAATTTTGTTGTTATTAGTTTATGCAGTATGATGTATACTTATAATATCATATATGATGACTTTTTAGGCTCCTCGTGCTAAAATGAACCAGCAAAGATCTCGAAGATTCAGAGCGTCAAAGGAATCCTTGTAAGTTTGTCTCTTGAGTACGCAGTAGTTTAATGCAATGATTTATTACAATTGATTTATAGAAATTTGTATTTTTTATTTTATAACTGGATGGAGCCATATATGTTAATATGATTATTGTACTTTAAAATTGGTTATTTTAACATTTTACTTTTATTGAGTAAATCTGTATTATGTTAGTCTTTATTTTTTTATAAGAGAAAAGATAGAAGAAATTTCCAAGATAAAAAGTGAGTTGGTTTCCAAGGGTTACAATGTGCCACCTGAGAAGAAACCAGAGGAACATTTTGACAGCAATTGTATCACTCCTGTAAGTTGATACTTGGAAATAGTGATCTCATCACAAATATCCACTTTGAGGCAGTTCTCTACAGATACAATTTTTAAAACACTAGAGCTCAGGATTGGGACCACTAGTGAAAGATGCATCTTTAAATCAAAATTCTGATAACTTGCTATCCGGTGAAAAAAGTCACTGAGACTAGGAATGGCATACCAGATGTAAAAGGTGTCATATGAGTTCTTTATATAATATATATTTATTTTATATCATTGTTAAATTTAATTTTAAATTGATATCTTTGTTCCAGGGTACTCCTTTTATGTTCAGACTGGCAGAGTGCCTGAGGTATTACATCCATGACAGGTTAAACCATGACCCTGGCTGGAAGAACATCAAGGTCATTCTCTCTGATGCCAATGTACCAGGAGAGGGAGAACACAAGATCATGGACTATATACGCAAGCAGAGAGGTAGGTAATGCCAGGCTGAATTACCAGTGATTTGTAGCTCAAGGTTGAGAGAAGAAAAAGTTGACTACTTCACAGTGTTTTTTTTTTTCGTTTGTTTTGTTTTTTATTGTTATTATCAGTTTCATTTTATCTATCTGTTGGTAAGGTATTATTTTTCACAGTTTTAAATGTTTTTTTGGTGTTTCAGCAGTTGACCCATAGGCTCATTTTAGCTCTTTTCTTTTTGCAATGCTTTTTCTCTGCAATTTGTAATGGATAAAGGCTAACAGAATTATAATTGGAATCTGTAAACAGTGGTTGTATTAATGAAGTGAACACTGATAATGTTGTTTTAAAATTGATTGAATGAAAATGAGCACCATTACGTTAATGTTTATATAACTAATAACTGTGGCTATTAAGGGATATAGATTTCTTCATATGAGTATCAGCAGTCATAACATTTAATGTTTTCTTGTTGTTACAGTTCATGCTGATCATGACCCCCAGACACACCATGTGTTATGTGGGGCTGATGGTAAGGAAAGGAAATTTTATTTCTATAAGATACTAAAATGTGAGGCGGCATAACTCTAAATTGCTTTAATAGATATGTCATCTGTGAAATATGCAACTGATGTACACGAGTCTCATGCAAAGTTTGTAAGAGTTTTAATTGAAGTGGCTTATGAAAGTGTACATCTAAAATGCTGAATTGATGATGAAAATATATGTAAGAAGCATGTCAAAAATAAAGTTTGTTATTTCACATGATAGATTCATTGACAAGAAAAGAGAGAGACTTGAATATGAATAATTTACAAAATATTGTCTTTTTCAGCTGATTTGATTATGTTAGGTAAGTTGATTCTGATACAAATAATAATCAATTTTGTTATTAGAATAAATTAATTTTATTATAGCTGAAATGTGAACTACAATGAAATATTGATGTAAACATAATCTTCATCTTCATCAACATTGATCTCTTTTTCTCTCCATATACCTCAAGATGTCTAAGGAACAATGTAAATATGTTTTGATATGTTATCTAGGTCTTGCAACCCACGAGCCATATTTTACCATTATCCGTGAAGAATTCAAACCAAATCAGCCTAAACCTTGTGAAATTTGTGGACAGATAGGTGGGTTCTTGACACTGTTCAATGATTATATTTGGTGACACTTTATTCACTGCTTTTTAAATGATTTTGTGTCCTTATGAAAATTGCTCTCAATCATTGCTTGCCTCTCAGAGTATTAATATATTAAAGTAATTTACTTCCTGTCACTAAGTTTATGTTTATGTATGTAGGTCATGAAATGAAGGAATGTCTAGGAATACCCAAGGAGAAGTCAGGGGAGGTGAGAGAGCATTAAAGTTTTTATGATTATACGTCAGTAAAATGTTACATTACACAGTTGTAAAACATAAACCTTTTTATCTATGATATTACCAGTAAATGAATCGTTATTTAGAGATAAGAATAAAACATGCCAGGCCTTGGTTAAAATGGTCATAATATATTTTTTAACAACAAATTTTCATGATACGTTTTAAATTTAGGGACAATAAATTCAACTGAACTGCACATATCTGAAATTGAGCACTGGATGTAACTGAAAAGTTGTCTTCAACATCCCATGTTTGTAACATAGAAAATTTCTACTGCTATGAATGGTTTTGTTGCTAATTGCTTTAGTGGTGTAGGTAGTCACCTTGATGATATCTTCTGTATTTTAGCATGATGAGATAGCCATGCCTGCTGGTTCAGAGCAAGAGTTTATCTTCATCAGGCTCAATATACTGAGAGAATACCTTGAGAGAGATCTCTTCATGCCTAACCTTCCTTTTAAATATGAATTTGAGGTAATGTCCAATTATATTGGTTTTAAATCTTAAAATTTATCTTAAAATCTTAAATTCATCATTCTTAAACCATTCAGTTGTTTTATTCTTAAGATCACTAAACCATTTTTATAGGTGGGGATATTTTATATACAGAAGTAGAAGCTGTAATAAATGATGAAATGTCCAACAAATGAAAGTTTAATGCCTGCTATCCTGTACTGGGTATTTTCCTATATGTGAACTTGACTTTAATGATGAAAATATAGTTTGAGGGAACAGTTGTGATTTTATGTTGTTGATTGTGTTGAATTATGGAGGTATTTGTGTTTTCAGCGAGTTCTTGATGATTGGGTATTCATGAATTTTTTTGTTGGGAATGACTTCCTTCCACATTTGCCTTCATTGGAAATAAGGTAATAAAATGCTTTTTGCACCTACCACTAACTTTGTTGGCATGAAGATTGAGCCATCAACCATTGTTTATCATATTCATGACTAGATTAGTCAAGTAAAAGGGTTGGCAGGATTGTGAAAATGGTCTTAAATATCACATTAAATATTGTAGACATTAAATAAGAGTGTGTATAGGCATGTATTTTAATTGACAAGATATACCACTTGTTTGTCTACATTCATACATGCTGTTTTATATTGAAGAGAAGGGGCTATTGACAGGCTGGTGAAGTTGTACAAAAACTGTGTGTACAAAACGGGGGTGAGTTTTTAGATTGATTAGATTGATTCTGTGATACTTTCCTCTTGTTTACACATACTTTCAAAATTAAAATATATCTATCAGGAATTTTAGAAGTATATTTGTCAGATAATATCATTTCTAGTTAATTTTCTATACAATTGTCTTCAACAAAATTGTTTTGGATAACATTTGTGATAGAACCCATGAAAAAATGTTTTTTAAATATTTCTTTAAATATGTATTATTTTGTTCAGGGCTATTTAACAGATAGTGGAGTTGTCAATTTGAGCAGAGTTCAACTAATCATGCAAGGTAACACTGCATCAGTTACAACAACTTGCATACCCACATACACACACACACATGCACACACATGTATGCTTATGCCATTGCAAGTGATAATGCCATTAGGTAAGAAAATATTCCTAATTTTTCATTAAGAATGCATTATATTCTAGGTAAATACCCATTAGTTAATGTGATCAATAAACCAATGTATTTGATTTAAACCCCCAAAAGGAAATTCAAAAAATTTAACTGTTTTTTTTTTCTTCAGACTTGGGGAAAGTGGAAGATGAAATATTCAAAAACAGAAGGCAGAGAGATGTATGTATAGACTTTTGACTTTTGTTCATTTAAATTTTGCACTATAATTTGATAGACTATTAATTTTCTTCTGATATCCTTTGTACAGTTGGAAAAAAGAAAATAATCCTCCCTAGGAACAGGCAGGCTAATCACTAATTGTAAATTGTCTGAAACATCACTCTTCAGCTTGACTTCAAACGAAGAGATAAAGAAAAAAGGAAGAGAGCAAAAATGTGGAAAAATTCAGACCGCCCTGCTTGGACACCAGGAGGAGGATTTGCACCACAGGTAAACTAAAACATCAAATAATCTTAGACTTCCTGACTGTAGCACATCTTTTTATTATAGCCAACCATGTACTTTATTCAACAAAATTATTAACATTTTCTTCTTTTTTAGTTGAGTTAGATCTGTTTTCATATTACATTGAAGGATTTGATTGCTTACATTTTATTAAGTGGTTATACCAACAAGTTGCTTATAGCAAAATGATTTCAGTTCATTTGTTTCCAATCTTGCCATAAAATTCACAATTTTTTGAAATATTGAACTTAGCTTGAGTATCATGGGTGGTGCAGACCAGCTCTTTCATTTTCAAATAATACATGCCTGCTTGTCATGTCTGAACTTCAGTGATGTTTGACCGAAGTTTCTCACACCAATCACAAGTATTATATTGGTCTATTATCATTTTCACATGTAATTCTACAGAATCACAAAATAAGGATAGCCAAATGAACATTTGTGTAAACTTCAATCAAACTTATCAGTAAAAATCAAAGTCAGATAAGCATACACATATAATGAAGTTTGAAAACGCATCAGACCTGAAGCTCAGGGTAATGGTAATATTTACTTCTGTTATCAGAGAATTGGCAGCACCCCCAACCCTGTGACCAATGTCCGGCAGGAGGCTTACAAGATGAGAATGGAGGGACAGAGGAGGACCATGGGCTCCACAGCTAACCAGGAGGCAGCACTGGCTTTGAAGGCTATGCTCAGATCAGATGGAGAAGAGGTGAAGTCTTGAGCAGAAGTAGTTATCTCAGAGAAATTGATTGTATTGGAGTTTTTTTTTAATGAATGGATTTTATAGGAGTGGTTGATATCCTAGCCTTTGAAAACTATGCTCAGTCTAACAACTTGGGGTTTTATACATGAGGTCTTTGGGAGAAAGCTTTTCTTGAAATAAAGCTACTGAAGGATGCAAGACAAATGGGTATGCTAGGAGAGGGTAGGTAGGGGATTGAGACAGTTACCTGTAGATATAGTGGAGGTCTTAAAACTTCTCTTCAAACTGATATGATTTCGTCTTTATGCATCCCTAGCTGAAATATCTGAATGAGTATGCAAGAATATTGTATGGATTAATGCGAAATGGGTATAGCTTATATTTCATTTCTTGCTGATAGTGCTAGTGCTTTATTATACAAGGTTTGATTAGGTTGCAACTTCAGTTTCTCAAATTTTCAGAGCAAGAACAAAGATGACAAGACAGCAGGCAAGAGAACCTCGACAGAGGCTGACCTTGACAGCGACGAGGAACCTGAACCAGCTGATGAAGTTAGGTAGGACAGGCTGCTTAATTATAGCAGGGGCGTGTTTCCATCTGACATGGTTCCACCTAGCTTGACAAAACCCTTACTCTGTAGGCAGTTTTATTATGAAATGCTCACCATAAGAAGCCAATGACAACAGAGAGAGTGGTTTTGCTCCCTGTGGTGATCTAATCGTAATCAAGTGGCTGACTGAGACAGTTACATTGAGTTTGACTGATCCAGTAGCTGTAAAGTGTTTACTTTTAAATTAAAAAAGTCTTCTTGACACTCATAATTATACTTTTTTTATTGCTTTTTTTCTCCAGAAACCAGTCAGTCTGAGTATTTAATGCTTCAAATAAATGTTTTTAACTTTGTTGTAGAGATGTTGATGAGAAGACAATTTTGTGCTGACCATGTATTCTATCCTTGACATTGATTAGTTTTGACCAAAAGACAGAAGAATAATACATCTATGAAAATGTGTTAATGTCTTTTATTTATTTCAGACTGTGGGAAGATGGGTGGAAAGACAGATATTACCAGAGCAAATTTGATGTTGGAGAGAATGATGTGGAATTCAGGATTAAAGTGGTATGATTGTCATATAGATTTTTTAACTTCAAATTAACTGAAAAGTGTCCTGAAGAGACTAGTATATAATGTGTGTGTGTGTGTGTGTGTGTGTGTGTGTGTGTGTGTGTGTGTGTGTGTGTGTGTGTGTGTGTGTGTGTGTGTGTGTGTGTGTGTGTGTGTGAGTGAGAAAATGTATTTCCATTTGACATGATATCAATTGACATATAATATTCAATATCATGTCACTCGGAGAAAGTAGAAAGGTGTTTAAGTTAGTGTAAATTCCTGTCTTCTATTTTTGTCTATTCTAGGTTTTAATTATCTGTACTTATTATCATATATCATTTTTATTATTTTTTAAATTTCATTTAATTGATTCCAGGCACAGAACTATGTTCGAGGTTTGTGCTGGGTATTAAGATACTACTACCAGGTAAGTCAAGGATGGAATGAAGTATTTGCTCTGTTTTACTTCTAATATACAAATAGAAATAGGGAATTATAATAGCATACCTGCACTAGAATGATATAGCATTACAGGAAAAAATTACTCCAAATGACACCAATACTTATCTGTATGTCAATTATTCAGAATTGTTTGAAACTAATTATATTCAAAATAAATAGGTAGATGAATAAATGAAGTAATACATGATGTAGGATGTATGAGATAAAAATGATTTATATAGATTGGATCTTTCTTTGGGATAACAGTTTTTAAGCTGGAGAAAAATCCCATCTGTAAATAATTTTATTCTTTCTGTCTTACTAGGGCTGTGCATCATGGAAGTGGTACTTCCCATATCATTACGCACCCTTTGCCTCAGACTTTATCAACATAGGTGATCTGCCCAATGACTTTGAGATGGACACAGAGCCAGTAGGTGCCACCAGTCATGGTGTACTGAAACATGTAGATTCCTCCTATTAAGATAATCTTAGCGCACAAGACTTTTCTCAATAAGAATGGTGGTGGGCAAGGTGACAGATTAGATTTGCTCAAAATCATAGTTACCTGAGATGCGTTGCACTGACTTTGTAACCCAACTTGAGTCCCAGTAACTCTCTGAATGGGATGAAATGAAAATTAAAAAGAAGAAAAAACATTTTTTTTAGTTATAAAATAAGCAGAAAGTTTTTTAATTTATAAAAACACATTATTATCATTTTTATCATATTTGCGTCTTTTTAAATGCATCACAAATTTCTGTGGCAAAATTTGAAATATAATTTTGCACATGATGTGAAAAGGAATGCAACTGTCTTACATCCCCCCCCTCAAAAAAAAATATAATAAAATAATTGTCATTAAACATGTAGATAATTTAGTCTTATCCACAAAATTGTCAGCTCTGGTCCTGTGAATTTTTTTTAAACAGACTGTTATATCCCTATGTATTTTTTCCAGTTTAAACCTTTGGAGCAGCTGATGGGGGTGTTCCCTGCAGCCAGCAAGAAGCATCTACCTATTACCTGGCAGATTCTTATGTGTGATCCAGTAAGTAAATGTAGAACTCCTAAAGCCAGTTTACAAGTGAACTGAAGTTGCCTGGCCTTAGCTTTGGGACTGATAATTTTCATCTGTTTTGACCCAGGCAGAATCAGTTATAACCCACTGTAATGGAGGTTTAGGGCCTGGTTCACATAAAGAATATTACCAGTGCCTGTATTAGATATGTTAAGTATGTTGGTTTGTACAGACATGTGTCAGATATGTTTATAACATCAAAGATGATTATTTTAAGTTTATTTATAGAAAGTATCTAACATTGTTTATAACCTGTTGAGGGTCATGAAAAAAAATTGAAATTTTCTTGTCTTCGAAGTATGAATTACGTATGGTGTTTGCTTTATTGTATATCAAACTATAACTATGAATATGGACTTGAAAAGTGGCTCAGCTTTTACTCACATATACTTACCTTTATTTCTTACGCTATGACTTAGGATTCTCCAGTCATTGATTTTTACCCCATTGACTTCAAGATTGACCTAAATGGAAAGAAATATGCTTGGCAGGGTAAGATTTCAGCTCAACACTTTTTCATTTTATTAAAGCAAAGAAAAGATGTTTTGTGGTAAGTGTTTCATTGTCAAATTCTCACTAAAGGTGCATTTTGTTAGATAAACATGTGGGTATAAGTGCATCCACATATGTACATTTTTGCATCACTGGCATATATATATATATCCATGAAGGTTTTATCTTATTTCATTTTCTAGGAGTTGCTCTCCTACCTTTTGTGGATGAGAAACGTCTCAAAGATGCTTTGAAGAGTGTATATCCAGATATAACTTCTGAAGAAAGTAAGCAGAGAATTCTGGCTTTTTGTAGATGATCAGTCATTGATTGAGTTTTATATATACTTGTTAATTTTAATCTACTGCTGGACTTTCAGAGTGCAACAGGTGTATCTAAGGAAGTGTTGTTTGGTGGTCCTAAGGAGGACATCTGCTTATACCAGATGGTTTACATGATTAATTGTTTTGGCCTTAATAATAGGTCTCTTGCTGTAAACAATTTTTTTTAAAAAGCTGATTTTATTGCCCATCAAAAGTTTTATCAGCTGTGCACTCAGAGATAGAACAATAATTTTTATTATGTATTGACTGTAATGTTCACATGCCCAAATTCAGGACTCTTATAAACAAATGGTCTGAATATACTGAGATAATTTTTTTTTCAGAATTTAGAAACATCCGAGGAGAAGACAGGATATTTGTGGGCAAAAGCAATCCTTCGCACTCATTTTTAGAGGCTTTGTATGAGGGAGATGCTGTAACTGACCCCATAGATCTGGATGGCAAGTTAACTTCTGGAATACGAGGCACAGTGTGGTGTGATACATTGGCAGTCATGACAGGAGAGTAAGTTACTTTCAAGATGTGATGAGCTGGCATCATGCTGGTCGCAAGGCTTTTGCTACTTGCTGAAATGATCGATGTTGGGTTAGATATGTAAGAAATTCAGTTGTTTTATATTGGAATTGACTTAAAGTTGATTTGGATTTATAATTCACAATTTGATCAAAATTAAAATGATGCCATTGTGAGTGAGTCTAGTTTTAAGTGTAAAATGTCACAGTCACCAGTGTGTGGATAATTTCTCTTAAAAGGTTTTTTATAAGATTATTCGAGTAATGGCAGTTTACTATCAGAGTTGACGATAGCAGGGAATTGACCTGTAGTTATAAAAAATCAAGCATTCTTTGCATGTCTGCTTGAATTATTGTCCCCTACATCCCTTTAAAGATATTTTTCTATTTGTTAAATTTAATTATATCAATGGAACACAAAATTTTTTACTGTTTCGAGAATTCTTGCTTGCAACGTTTGAATGTTTTAACATGCAGTGCTACCAAGCATGTCCGTTATTTGTAAAATTAGTCTTCTTAATCTTCTAACATTTTGCAAAGTGAGGCCAATGCAGTCAGCCACATGTTCTTTTAGGTTTTGACCTTTTTCTTGTTCTTTATTTCAGTACAGTGAAGTCTCCCCTTCCACAGCTAAAAGATCTCAAAGACAACAAAGTCATAAGGTATGTAGATAACAGTGTTTGAAATGAAAGATTTCCACAATTTATCCATTGATGTTCCAAATTGAGGATCTGTTTTGCATGAAAGTTAAGGTAAATTATTGTTTAGGGAAAATTAAGAATAAAGTTGAGAAAAAAAAGGGTATCTTAAAAAGTTTGAGAAAATGATGTAAGATATTGAAAATATGTCTCAATTAATGACATGAAAATAAGATTGTTTTACATTCTTGGTGCTAAAAAGCACAATTTCATTACCACATTTCACTAAATGATGAATACAGCATAATTCAGTGTAATTTCAGGGCACCTACTACATATTCTGCAGAAATGCTGGCATTTTCTGAAAAATTATGAACTTCAAGATTCTTACAGAAGCTATGGCTCTCTCTAACAATATAATTATTCATGTTACCTTGCAGGATAACACAGATACACCAGCTTAACTTTTATTGAATACTCTGTTTGATGTACACTATAATGTCCCTTGTTTGAAACAGATGAAAACAGGTTTGTGTACAGTTACAACCTTTATCTCTTTCCATGTCCAGTGCATTGTATAAAGACCCGCAGTATGAACGGGGATATCTCTTCCCAGCTAAATTGTTGGAAAATGTGCAGTAAGTAGCCACTCTGTCAGCTTTTTGAGTAAAGTTTATTGTTACATTCCACAAATGATAATAATAATGGTATTAATAATAAGTAATTATAATAATAAATATGAATGAGAAAATTTCTTAACAAAACTATTTTTTCAATGACTTCATGGTAATCTAGTTTATTGTGTCAAGGTAATGAGCAAGGCATTTTATTCCTCAAAAGTCATTTGATAAGGCATGATTTTATTTAAGTTTTAAAAGAGGGTTAGATTTTAATTGGCATAGATTCTGAAAAGGAATTACTATTATAACACCTTATGTTGAGATCAGTTTTTCTTTGAAAAAAAAAAAATTAAATGTCATGAACTTGATGAATTGAAGATTGTTGAATTGCTGTTGACTTTAAAGCACTCCCTTAATTTTTTCTTTGATAATATCAAAGGATGCCTCCAAAGACACTTAAGCCAGAGGGGATGGGCAGGAACCAACCTTACAGACCACAGCTGGGTTTTGATCGTAATAGCCATTACCGCAACCCAGCCGACAAAGATATTTCTTCTGCACAGAGGATGATAAGGTATTTACATGTTAGCAGATATTTTATTATTGTCACTTCATTTTAGCCAGTTATCTGCAATGTTTTTGTCCCGTTCAATTCTTAATCAAGTAAAGTACAAATATGAGGAATGTGAGTAGATAATTTGGGTTTGGTGAATTATTGAAATCCAGTGGTAAAAAGGTGTAAGTGCCAGAATAGATCTACACCTTATCAGTTTGTCTTCTCAGCACTTCAGTTTGCTGGCCATTAAAGAAAATTTGACAGTCAAATCTTTCAATATTTATTGCAATGTTTTGCCCTATAGTGCTTTGTTTGAGCAGAGGGATATCTCTAGCAAAAGTAAAATTTTGGTGATTTATTCTATGGTGCCTTTTATCCAAAATGTGTTAACGTAAAAGAAGCAGTTTGTTGTTTAGTTCCATCACTTGTTTTTTTAGATTAACTTAAATCTTTGTTCTTCAACAAAAGTGTAGATTTCCAAATTTTGTTTTTATTTATCACATCTAACACTGTAAGTTTTGAGATTAGGTCTAAACCAGGGAGTGAACTTTTACCCAAAACTTACAAGAAAAATTTAACTTCATACACCAATTTTAGTGTAATCTTTTTCTTTCTCCCAGGCACAACATGGACAGGTTTGCGGGACAGGGCACATACAGTAATGCACCGCCACCAGGACACTATGGCAGAAGTTTTATGGGTAATGGACCACCGCCACTCATGAGAATGGGTGGTAAGTGAAGTTAGACAGTAAATTTTGTTTATAGATCAATTTTGATTTAAATTCAACCTTAATAATAACTGTCTAGCTTGTGGGTCACAGAAGTATTTTGGGTCTTCTTTGTTAAAAGAAAGAATTTTCACTTATCTTTGAACAGTTTTTCAGGTTCTCTTTTATACTTGTATGAGTGGTTATTGTTTTTATTGTTGCTCTTAACCTCATAAGAATGAATGATTAGCGAGTAGTATTGTAGTGGATGTAGGAATTCTGTTTTGTATGGTGCTGCCATCTGTTGGGTCTTTTTTTACAGCACAGAAGAAGCACAATAGATTATATAAAGAGGGAAAGCAATCCTCTCAGAAACTACTGTAATATTTCTCAGCCAAGGAAATATACTTAAACTTTAATATATTTGCTTCAATATCTCACCTGAATGCAAAAATGCTTTTTCAGTTTTTGATGAAAAAATGTGTATCTGATTTGAAAAAACGATAAAAAGACATATTAAAGAATTGAACTGAGTGAACTATGATATTAAACAGACCTTATCATAATGATTCTCTTATTTTTATATTTGATGGTATTTGAAGTATGCCCCATTACATAATGTGCAAATCCATATGGATTTACGAAATTTCCCCAAAGCATAACAAACACGTTAGACCTGTCAGATTAGATAAGATAAGAAAATTATTCAGGATTATTTCTCTTGAGTGTTTAGCCAGCATATGCCTCGAAATTATTTTACTGCTTAAAAATGTATTTGTCTTACCATCTGAGAAATATCTTTATTTTTATAGAAGTTTTGCTGACAGCTGCCCATGTTACATTGTGTATGAGTAGTTGTTTAATCTGTTCAGAGACATCATGCCTGAGCTGACATTACGAACAGTCGAGCACTCTTGAGCCAAAAACTACGTCCTGTGTCAGTTCCAAAATTGAAAGTAAGACGAGATAATTAAAGACAAACTCTTGACATGTTTATTAGCATGCATCATAAGGGCTATTGTTTTGAGTGAACTGACACGATTAATAGCTTCAGATAGGACTGGTAACTTGGGGTCTCTTCTTAAGAACAATCAACCAAACATATTGAGTGGGATTAAGGCAAGTTAAGCTACCTCTTACATAAAGGTTAAGACATAAGGCTCACGCGCCATGAGTGGCACCAGACAAGGTTTCTGGACCAACATCTCTGTCTCCTTTAAACTTGTAAGTCAACACTCTGTGCAAGCAAAACCACCCCGGTTCCCCTTCTCCCCGTCTTGACAGCCCCATGGCCGAGACAAACTGTTTAACCTTTGCGCCATATTGGTGTTATCCGCTTTTGTTTCTTTCATTTAGTAATCTCAAAATTTTGGCATGGCAAAGTGAATCAGCAACTGCCATGTTTTTGCGTGTTTGCTAACCTTATTTGGTCAAATGATTTTCTGGTGAAATTTATTTGGTGTCTATGTTAATATGTTGAATTATAATCGGCTTGGTTGACAATCAGGTCTGCATTTGATAGGGAGTAATTCTCATTTTAAAACATTCTGTAAACAAGTGTGAAAGTAAGAATATTTGGAGAAGAGAAAAATTAAGCACTGGATATAGCTATTGAAGGATCTACAAAATTCCAACAGTGTTCTTATATTGGACTGTGTGATTTGTGGATTTCCTTTTAGTTGTTTTTAAATTTATTGTTTTTTATTATTTTTATTATTTTTATTTTTAAGTAGTATGTATCCAACAACTTAAAAGGTAAAAAAAGTGTACATGATGTGGGGAGGTTTTTATATTTGGTCGGTTAACAGGGATGTTTTTGCTCAGAATTGTTCTTCTGCTATTAGTATTTATTTCCCTTTTTCTTCCACATGTGTATAAAATTATAATATTTTTTTATAATATTTTTTGCAATTTGTAACATTTGAAGTGCCCCTTTAAAACCCTCCTCCCACACATAATAAAAAGAAAAGAAAAGAAAGAGAGATAGAGGGGAAAATGAAAAATCAGAATTAAATCACAAGTGACAATTGGTGTAAATGTTATGTCCATTGAAGCACAAGAGCACATTGTGGAGAGGTAAGTGGTAGCGACGTGGCAGCTGCCCCGCTGTAACTGAGCATACCATTATCTTCCCCATGCCACACTGAGCACCATGAGGACTGGGCTGGCTCAGGTTACAGTGAACATGGTTCTTAGTCATGGTGTCATTGTTTTTATTTCCTTTTATGTCCAAAATTGACAGAATTACAGTATTCATGAACGGTAGAACTGATCTGATTTTTATCAGTTTTTTTTACTGTGAAAAATGAAATCCAAAGACAGAAATCCATGGAATATGCATAATTTGAAGGTTGGAACACGACTGCATAACTTGCAATATTTAGATTTGTGTGTAGGTTTTACTACATATTCAGAATTAGTGTTTACTGGAATTGAGTTGTCTGTCAGTCTGTCTGTTCTTTCATAGATCCAATTTTTGATTGTGTGAAATTTTAAACACAAAAGACCTTGACCTTGAATTGTTGTGCTCCCTGGTATACAGAAGTCATTATGAAGGATTTCCAGATTTCAGAGGTAACTTATTTTTATTTTCGAATCTTAGAAAATTGAACTGACACTCAAATTTAATTGAATTTCTCATCCCTTTCCTTCAGTTTTCAGTGAATTTCAGTGAAATTTTAAGCACATGAGGATCTTAACATTAAGCTGTGCTCTGTGGTAATTAGGTCATGGTGTGAGATCCATGGAAATAAGGGTCTTGGTAGGTGTGTTGGTCTCTCCTTTATCTGTCACAAGTTTCACAACCTTGACAATTTGTGAATGTAATAACTTCAATTAGGGGTGAACTAGGACTGCCATATTTGGAATACAATTTTCCAATGGGTTTCCTGAATGAACTGCTCTCTGGTTTACCCTCACCTTCACCCTCTTGTCAAGGTCAGAGGTCATTGATGGACAAACTTTTGGGCTCAATTACTTGAGAAAGAACTAAAAGGCAGAGCAAGCTTCATACACAAAATAATCAGGTCTTACAGTACGCTTGTTCCAGAAGAGAGCTTTTCTCTCATATTATCATTAAATCAGAACACAATGGCAAGGGTATTTGTTCTAGAGATTTTAATGTTCTTACTTCTCAATGGTTGCATTACTTTATATCTGTGAGAAGCTAGAAAACATTAAATACAAAAAGAAGGTCCCAGCTTGCAGTTAACAATTTGTATTAAAATACATTTTGTGTTTGAAGGCATTAATATATAATTCACATTCTGCTTTTGTCAACATGATATATATTGTCAACACGCAACCAATAACATACATAATTTATGATAACCAGTTGATTATCTTCATAATTCAAAGTGTACAAAATCTGTACCTGTTGAACTACTTATTCAGTGTTCACAGTTTTCTAAAATAGTTTTGTGTGTCGAAATGAAGCAGTCCAGAGTAGCAATCATAAGTGCTCAAGTATTCTATGAAGAACTTGTGAGAAAATTAAAAAATGATTCAGTCTGAAAAGCTCCCAAGCTGTTGAAGCTGAACTACAGCCATTGTGGGCCAGGAATATTTGTACATTGCCACTTTTGAGTTTATGTATGACACCCTTCAGTGGTGAAAATCACAACTTTCTCACACATTCCTTTTATTGAAGGTTTCATAAGTAAATAACGTTGAGTGTTCACAGCCAGATTAAATAGTCGTTTTATCCTTTTTTTGCCTCCAGCGCGGCAATCCACATTTTTGATCAGAACATTGTTTGGCTGTGTGGTAATCCCCTTTTAACTCTTTGTTGAGGTCTAAAAAAGTGAAGTGGGTGGAAAACTTGCTTCTAATGTGGAAGGAGGATTTTCAAACAAAATGTCAAAATTGCCGCCTGATCTATTGTGAGTATTGGAGCAAGGCAGGTGATGGGACTGAGGCGACTGGATTGATAAGGAAACAATACTGTCTGCCTCTGTGTCACATTCGCTTCCAAGGTTGTTTTACAAGATTCCAATCGGAAAGAAGAAATTAATGAGACCCAGTTAATTTATTGCATTCAAGAGGCCTATTATTATCTGCTGTTACACTCCCTGTTGTTTTTTCAAGTACTATTGTCTGCAATGGAGGAGTATGTGTGGCTCCATCAACCTATTACCAGATTTTTCTCAATTCCACTTCGCTATTTTCTGCTCATTTGCATCGAAATTGTAGCTCATCAGTAGCTTTTGATCTCTTTTGTCAAACATGGATTGAATTTTCTTTCATTTTTTTGCTCCTCTGTTAGAAAATTACACAGTTGCGTAGGTTTTTTTGCTTGGCAAGAGAAGAGCAGGTTTAAACTTGCATGAGCCTATTGATGGGCTGCAATGTATGATTGACTGAAGTGTAATGATTGTGAATAGCAGTTCGTTATGCCGAGTAAAGCTTCTGTCAATTTTACATGCAATTAGTATAAAAAAGACTCTTTAGTGAGCTTCAAAATTAGTGATTCAGAATCAATGGTTACACGGTTTGCGAGCATCTTCTTTGCAAGGAATTTGTTTTTGTAATGTTATGTTGACGTGCTATGCCATTCATGGAAGTAATTAAGAACAAATATAAGTCTACTTAAGATGTAGTTACAGTATTCTTGAGTAACTCACTCTCTGAGAAGTTGACATGTTGTCACTCCTAGGTATTTCGAACCCCTCCTTTGTATTATAGTAGGATTATTGGCCGACTCACGGGGAAACTGCTTCCATCTTGTAACAGGAGCTCGCCACGTAGTGCTTTAATTACAGCTTGACACCTTATTCAGGAGTTCATTTTCAGCAAACATTTTGAGATTTGGGCAGAACCCTCAGAAATTGGCTGTGTATTGTGTGCGCGTATCTGAAGAGGCTGGTAAGGAGGCTGCAGGTGTGGGTGTCAGCACAGAGGGCACGGTGCCTGGGTGCTTAATGCGGCAAAACGCAGCGACCAACACGTACTTGTGGCATCTTTTCCGTTGCTCATTTTAATCTTAATGTTAGCAGTATTACTAATGGATAGGAATGTCTTTTTTT